CTCTAACATTATGCTCCCTCTGCTTTTTCTCATAGTAGCTTTGTCTGGTCTGTTCCTGTTTGGCTGTGACTCCATCCTGGAGAGAAATATCAGCTGTGCTGCTGCCATCAACACCTTTGTTTATAGATGTTCGAGATCGGCCTGTTTTTCCAGTGAAGTCCTGTTTTTCTGACTGTGACTAACTGGATGTGCTCTCTTCATCCTCTGACATGGGAGCTGGCTCGGAGCTCATCTGCCTGGCTGTGTGTTTCCTGGCCGAGGCCGCCTTTTGCAGCTGCTTTTTGTATCTATGCTTCTTCTTCTATGTCTGCTTCTGTCTCCTTGAACTCCAGTGGGCCTCAGCAGATGGCCGCTCACACTGAGCCTGGTTCTGCTGGAGGTTTCTCCCTGTTAAAAGGGAGTTTTTCCTTTCTATCGTCGCTACAAGCATGCTTAATGAGTCGATGCAATCAATTTGACTGGATGATCTGGTTGAATTGTAAAATGCCTTGAGATGAAATAAACTGAAATAAAATTTAATTGATATAAGAAATAACCACCAACCTCAGCCGACTGATGTATGTGTGCGTCTCCACAGAAGATCCACTGACCTTGAAGATGTTGGGTCGCTGGATGAGGCCCATAAGCGAGAGGAAACCACCGTAGGACCAACCATGAATGGCCACGCGACTCAGGTCCACAAAGTTAAACTTCTCAGCCACGTACTGCAGACCCTCCACCTGGTCCTCTATCTCCACCTGACCCTGGACACATTTTTTGGCATCACCATTTTGGTTCAACAACAGGATTGTAACTTTATTTTGTAAGATCCGCTTAAATCTACCATTTTGTTTTTCAGTGCACCCTCAAATTCCAGGCCCCTCTGACAGGAGCCCCTCCCATCAATGACGACCACGGCGTAGCCAAGAGACGCCAGCGTGTTGAGACGGAGGTACTTCATCCCCTTGAAGGAGTTGTTAACCAGCTGCACCTAAACACCCCCAAACACATCCTTTTAAATAATCCTGTTTGTTATCCAGACGTAACCGTGTTCAACCACCAACCTGCGGGCCGCCGTACACAAACAGCACAGTTGGGTGTTTCCTGCCGGGCTGCAGGTTGTGAGGTTTGTACACCATGCCGTACAGCTGGAAGCCCGACTTCCCGGGAAAGTCAAAAATCTCCGGTGGGTTGTACTCTCCGGGGCAACCTGGAAAAACATGTCAACACGATCGCTTAGTTTTAATATTGCAGGGTAGTACCCTCGTCCAGTTTAGGGGAAACGTAAGATTTTCTCTGTATTTTCTGCACTTTAAAATCAAAAAGCATCATTTGAATAGGGGGTTTTCAGTGACGTCACTGGCCAGCTTCCGGTCCGCCATCTTGGGTGGCATATTATCGTATATCATATATATCATGTCACGAATGGATAAGTACGCCAGCACGCTAGAGCCACCAGATCATGGAACATATCTGAGGAAATGTTCCGTGATCGACCATATG